GCTACCACTTAAAAATCAGGAGATTTTCATCATGGCCTTGGATTTGGCAAAAGATTCTTAGATATGACACCAAAAGCATGGGAAAAGAAAGAAAGAAATAGATAATCAGAACTTCATAAAAATTTTAAAACTTTTGTGATTCAAAGGACACCATCAAAAAAGGGAAAAGATAACCAACAGAATGGGATAAAATATTTGCAAATCATGTATCTGATAAGGAACTTGTATCCAGAATGTAGAAAGAACTCTTATAGCTCAATAATGAAAAAGACAACCCAATTTTTTAAACATTTTAAAAGTTAAATTTTTAAATATTTAAAATGATAATCAGGAGACTTTGGTTTAAAATCCAGATGCCCTGGAAACACTGAAAGAACTAACCACTCTGGGCTCACATCCCTTCATGGTAATGACAGGCGAGAGCTGAGCAGGGGCTGCCTCCTCTAAGTGAGCTCTCTAATCAGCCACAGTCCTCACTACTCCCCACTGTTCCCCAACCCAGCCTACTTTCCTCACTGAAGCCACTGAAGGTGGTGAGGCCTCCTAAGGTCATTGTCCAATCACTCTATCGCATAATCTCTTTAAGACTAAATTCATTCTGGTGCTGAGTTGGAAGTTTTTTATGTTTGGGGTTTTTTAAATTTCTTTTCCTTCACTGATTTTATTGCCATATTCCAAGAAAACTCTTAGCCAAGAATGTATCCTATATTTTGCGTCTCTCACAACACCCAGCACAAGACTAAGAACAAAGCCGATGCTCAATGTTCACTGAATGAACCTATAAATGAATGAGTAAATAAATACTTCTCTGTGATCTTCTTCAATACCTTGTCTTCTTCCCCCCAATTCTAGACTTACGCCATTAAGAAGATGGCCTAAAATGAATATGGATGTGTAATAAAAAAATAAAACACGAAAATCAATCACTACATTTCTATTTTCATTTTCTATTAAGATGAAATGGAAATGGGAATTCTGAATAAATGCAGAACAGACCATTATGTCTAACAGCAAGACGAATTAGAGCCCAGGACAGTGGAGAGCACCTGCAAATAAGATTACCAAACACTATCAGGGATCTTTGAGGAAATTGTGAAAAATAGGATAGGCGCCATAAAGCTGGAGGTGGGCAAATGTTCTGATTTTCAAGAGGGGAAAGAAGTTCGAGCTTGCCAGTTCCAGACTGAGAATATGGTGTCACTCTCAGGCATGGTTCCTGAACAGATTCATAAAGGGACACTTGTGAACACCTCGGACAGAAAGCAACATCGCTTTGGAGCCAGCACAGGGTCACCAAGAACAAGTCATATTAAATTCACTTCATTTTCTTCTCTCTGACAAGGCTCCTAGCCTAGTGGATGAGAGAAATATAGCAGATAAAATATATACAGTGCAATGATGAGGTGGGCAGTGAAAAGGGCTAATTCAACCCTTGGGCTGTATTAATAGAAGCATTACATACACCATAAAGGAAGTGATAGTGGTTTTCTTTCTCCAACCACATTTAAAGAGTCGCATTTAGAACTTAGTATCACTCTTAAAGAAGGCTTTTGACAGTACAATCTTTTGGAGGTCTATTTGGCAAAATCTCTTCAAAAGCATAAAGCTCTAATCCAGATTACTGGTATCTGTTGAAAAATTGAAAGATCTGGCTGGGCCTACATTCTAAGTGGTAACAACTGGTTGAACCCAAGTAGAGACTGCCCATTTGGACAGGACATGTGCTCTCGGGCTGACCATAACTACCACCTCTTCTTATGTTGCCCTGGTTGAGGCAGTGGGCCAGCTGCCACAACTCATCTTACTTAGCCAGCTTCACTCACTTATTCTACCTGCCAAGTACTCAAAGGCACTGGAGTTTGCAACCCGGGATGCAGTAGCTCCCAAGGTGAGTGAAGATGATAAAGCAGCAGTGAACCATCTTATATGAACAAATGGGAGATAATCATAGTCCCTGGGTTATGATCGGAGTCTCCAAACACCCAATGGGCAGTCATGGGAAAGAAGCATCTGTCTTGTTCTATGAAGTCCCAAGGTATAGAACCAAAAGGTGGATTAGAGACATACTTAACCCAACATAAAAACCACTTACAACAGCCAGAGTGGTCCAAAAATAGAATATGTGGGCTTGGGAAGTGGTGAGTTCTCTATCACTGGAAATGTGCAAGCATGTGGTGTACTACTGTGTTGCAGGTATATAATCAAAGGGATTCAAGTATCTGATTAGGCAAGAGAAGGCATGAGTCTGAAATTTTTCACAATAGGAAAAAAAAAAGCTGTTTTAAAACATTCCCCTTTAAAGAAAAAAAAAAATTCCCCTTTGTTAGGTCAGTAAATGCTTCAAAAAGAGAAAAAAGGGACTAAGCCAACAAAGAACTCAGTATCATTTTTAAAAATCAAAAGTTCCCCTCACAAAATGCACAGAGGACAAAATCTGTCAAACTAGGTGGAGTGTTTGTGGCAAACTGGCCAGATGATATCGAAGGTAATTGGCATCAGGCATTATTTTTGGTGTTTGGTCAAACGCTCTTCAGAGGCCAGCAACAAAGGCAAGGGAGGAAAGTAAGAGGGTAAACAATGGGCCGTGATCGAGAGGCAGCCGGTCCCCACCACAAAACTGCCATCTGCTACTGACATCAATCCTTCAAGGGGCAGCTTCAGGCAAACAATGTATCGGGGACACTGGGCCTGGAAGAAAACCAGCTGCCTTCACATTTCCCACCTTGTGACCTTGGGCAAGTCATTTAACACTACAAGGCCTCAGTTTCCTCATCTCTAAAACTGAGCTCCTACAGACCCTGTCTGTAGTTTGTGTAGGCCAAGAGTGGTGAGGTCTGGGAGTGAGCCATGGAAACAGTTGAGCCCTGAACACACATCAATAGTTATGATGATGATGATGAACAAAGAGAATTTTGACAGAAAAGATTCCGGACAATTTCGGGCGCAATAGCATCCTGACCTAAATTGTGTGGGTGTCAACCCTGAAGGAATAAAATCAAACTCTTTTAACTAGAATGCAGAGACATTTAGAGTCTGGAAGAGACAAGATCATTTGGACAAATTTCCTGCTGAAATGCATTACCTTGTCCGTGCTAATTAGTTGTTAAAATAAAGGCAAAAAATAAAAAGTAAAAGAATCAGCCAGAGCTATAAATGTTTAATTGATCCTCAAGCAAAGTTCAGGGGCCCAGTGGTGGCAATCCTTCAAAAATGAGATGAGCACATTTTCTACCAAGACGATGCTTATAAAAACTCCAGACTGTCCCAAACTCACCATACCCTTCTCTCTTATGGCATTTTTCAAGGGAAACTCAGTTTTAAAAAACAGTAATAATCAGCCAGTCTTACAAAACATAAACTTCCTAAAAAGTGTGCAGGCAAAGGCTGAAACCAGGCTTTGTATTGAACACTCGAGAGAATTCAGATCTCTGACCAATAAAGGGCGGGTATCTAAATTTTCAGGAACGCTGAAACATTGTAAATCACTGTCTTCTACACTGAACTGAAAACTAAAGAGGAGGAGCCCAGGGAAGAGCAGGGTTTTCTGCTCATTTCTTCCTGGGGTCTACTGAGAGGTGATCAGCACGCCAGGTTTGAGCAGAACTGAAAGGCACAAGACGGTTGGCGAGACTGGAAAAAAACAAAGCTCTCCCCTGATGGCTGCTCCCCTCCCAAAGTTTCCCAAGCATCTGAAGCGTGTACAGCAGCTGTGATGCGCAGCCTCCCACCGCTCCTGTGGAGGCCACCCCACTTCCTGGGTCACTGAGCCTTGAGCTGCAGCAGCACCTAGAAGCAGGTGTGGAACCTCAGGTTGCCGGAGCCCCAAATAACCAACTTGCTCAACAGTCCACCTATAACCTCAGGGGCAGGCATCAACAGCCCCGAAGATGTATTTTGTCTTTACTCTTTCTTCAGGAGACCACAACACACCCTGTGTTGCAGCAAGGAGAACTGTGACCAGAAAGAAAACATATGCCAAGAGGCCAGGCCCAGGCTTCTCTTAGAGTACATCCCAAGAGAAAGGGTGAGCATGGTGGATGGTGCTTTCAGGTTTTCCTTGCCAAGGCTGAGCCTAGAACTCATGAGGGTGGGAGAAGCTCCAGTCTGGCCTAAATAAGGATTCTGCCTGAATCTGTCTATACGATTGTGTCCGGTTTCCTCTCTCCCCTTGCTAGTGTGGATTTACAGGAGTGTGCACCCAGTGAGTAGCACTAAAGCTGGAACAAGCAGTCAGAGGTCACCTCATCCTCCTGGCAAGCTTTCCCTGACACTACGGAAGCCAGGCAGCGCCTACCAGCCAGCACACTGAGCTGTTGGCTTTCAGTGAAGGCTGATGACCCTAAACACTAGTGCACAGACGGTGATCGGGGCTGCACACTGCGAGACAATACATTTTCTGCACTGAGCTCGCTCTTTATGCCTAAATGCCTGCATTAGTTTGGATCAATATGCTCCATAACAGTTAATCCATGGCAACCCAGTCCAGCTGAGAGTCACCGACAAAGAAGTGCAGCCCAGGGATGCTGCTTCCCTGAGCACATGCATGTGAATTCCAGCCCAGAGAAAGGGACAGAGGCAAAGCAATGACAAAAACCAGAAAGGAGAGAGAAAAAAACCCAGATCATTAAAAAAATAAATCAAATTAAGGGGTTTTTTGCATGGCGGGGGGAGGAGGCAGTGACTGTCAAAATGGCCTTAGAGTGACATGTCATGGCCAAGATGATGGAGTATCCGCGACACTCCTAAAGCAGGGCGTAGGATCCTCCTCACACACCTGCAATGCAGTGATCGCCGCCCGTTCTACAATCCATACTCCCAGCGCCAGTGCTCTCTGCAGTTGAAACCAGTCCGGACTTGTGCGGCTGCCACTGTTCCTCCTCACAATAAGATTATTGATGCATAACAGCATTTCATGATGGCAGGGAGGAAAAGGGAAAAAAGCCAAAGCAAGAGAAGAAGGAAAGGGGAGGGGAGGCATGACTCCCCAGCCCAAATCTCACCTTTTATTTGGGCTTCATATTCGGCAATGATCTCTTTGTCTTTCTTGAACTTAGTTTGAGATGACATCTTCCAATGTGGCCAAAGGCACTGACAGGCTGTTGGATTTATTGCTCCTTTTCTTCCCGAGTCCTCGCTCCAGCCCTGGTAATCACACGGCTCTGGTCGATTTCACAGGTGTAGGGACAAATCTCTTTCACTGGCTGCAGAGCCAGGGGAAAAAAATCCCTCTTGTTCTCAGAGGAAAATTCTCTTTACTCGCTGAAAAATGTCTGTAGTAGCTTGGTCTGGCCAAGTCCTCTTGACCAGAAGAAGAACCACCACCCTAGGAGCACGGTAACCTGCCTGATATTTTCAAGATTTTTCTTCCAAAAAAATAATATAACCGAGAGCGCTCACTCACCCCACTCACAGACACACACACACACACACACACACACACACACACACACACTTATGGGTGTACTCACACACTCATCCGGACATGCACACACACAGTTGTGAAGCACACACACACCCTCACACCCGCTTACCCGCTCACACACACACACACACACACACATCCACGAGAGGCGCGGCACCTCCTTGGTCCTGCAGTCAGCCTCCGGCTGGCTTTCGAAGGCTCTCTGCTAAGGAGATGGTCAGGTTGCCAAAGAGCCGGTCATCTCGCATCCTCCCTCCCTTCTGCGCCTTTGGTCCGATGTACAGTGAGGCTCAAAGCCAGGAGAGCGAGGTGGAAGTTCTCCTGCTGCAAGGCTTAAGCTCGGGGTGAACAGGGGGCCGGACTGCTTGCTCTGCGGGGCTGGCCAAGCGCTCCCCCCACTGCTCTCGTCACCAAGCTCCACCTCCCGGATTTTATAACAACTGACACATTGTAGCCTACAGGAGAGCAGAACTCACTGCAAGCAAAAAGGGGAAGAAACATTCACAAAAGGGAAGGAGGCAGGAAAAAGAACTGGGCTGGGGAGGCCTGAGAGGCCCCTGCAAACTCCTACCATTAGCAGTTGGGTTAGGGATTTTTCCTCCAAAAACTCCAAAAGGTCCACCTTTTCTTTGCAACATGAAATTTAATTCAATTTCTCAAAGCAATGGCTATGTGACAGTTTGTCACTCTGCCAGATCGTCTAGCAGAGGAGAGGGGCTGACCCATGTAGGCAACCTCATTAATATTTGTTGAGCATTATGGGGTGGCAGGGACAATGCCAGGCGTCTCAGACACACAGCTTTGCACAGCTGTTGGGAGCAGGCTTGCTGGAAACCCAGCCACCTCAGGGTCTCGTGGGGCTTTGGGCAAATCAATAACTCATTGAGCCTCAGTTTCCTCATCAGTAAAATGGGTTCTCTTTGGGGGCTTTTTCCTTCTTTCTTTCAACAAATATTTACTTTACGCTTAATACAGGTCAGGCACCGTTCTGGGTATGGGAACACAGCAATGATCAAACTAGCCCCCGCCAAAAAAAAAGAAAAAAAATCCCCACCCTCCTGGAGCTCCAGGGTGTCCACATCACCCAACTCTGGGAAGTCAGCACCAGTCATGGTAATATTCTCAGTAAAAGCAGCCCCGAGCAGAACTCAGAATGCATTGTGAATGGTGCCTCCTGGAGTTGTGTAAGGCGAGAGGCCCTGGGAGGGGAAGATGAAAGATAAACAAGATGAGAAAGTTATATAATATGGTAGAAGATGATAAGCGCTGTGAGGAAAAAATATTGCAGGGTAAGGGCCTTCCGGAATGAGGGAGCTCTTGGAGGTTCAAGTAAGAATGTGAGGCTGAGCTTAGTGCAGAGCCTGGTAATAAGTAAGTGAGAGCAATTCTTATTAACCATGATATCCCTCAACAACCTCACAGCATAGTATATGTGAAGGAACAGAGGCACAGGTATGGGAGGTGACTTACCCAAAGTCACCAGCATTCAAACCTAGGCTGTCTGACCCCAGATTCTGCCCGTGCAGATGTGCAAAGTCTCCTGCATTCTACTGGAGATTAAACCCATTTCACATGCAGTTAAGGCAGAATAAGATCTGTTCTGTAAAAATGAAATCAAGCACTACAGGGTTGCTGCCACTGGAATTTCACATATTAAGATGGTCCTTAACATGTATTGTCCCCCGAATGTCGTATTTTCACAAATTTCTCAAAATAATCTTCCATTTGCCTTTTTCTGAGTGCATAATGAATGACTTGATTTGGGTTCAGAAGTAAATAGGTTATCCATGCCAGTCCATTGAGGCTTCCTAGAGAAAGTGACAGCTGCAGCCATTCTCCCCAGGTCGGCATGGGGAGGTGAGGGGCACTCAGTATGAGCTGGAGCAAACAGTACAAGCCACAGTTGGGAATGCATGAGATCTGCTTGGAAAAAGCAAGCGAGAAGTCCACAGGGCTTATTATAGCTTTGTGCCCAGAGACAGGAGGTCACAGAGTTCACAGGTAGATGCCACTGGCCCACAGCCATCACCATTACCCCCCGCCTCTCCCTTCCCATAGACACACTCAGGCCCTCTGCAGTCATCCTTTGGACCATTTTAAAACAGTGAAAGCCACACATGTCACCTGAGAAAGATGTGCTCAGAGATTAGCATCCCTGCCTCAAGCCTAGACTCTCAAAGGAAAATGGGAGCTAGTATCATGCATTTGGGGATGTGACAAACTGGATTCCCTGCCTGGCTCTGCCACTGACCAGCTCTGAACACTAGAGCAAGTGACTTAAACTGCTTGTTGCCTATTTGAGGCAGGAACTAGCAAATGTCAGCTATTCTCTTCATTACTAAAATTTAAAATCCACAAAGATTTCTGGGAGACCCATGTGTAAGGACCTGAGCCAGAGAAATGTCGCAAAAAGCCATATAAAACTGAAATGAAGTATGGTATAGAGCTAGGTGCTGAACAACAGAAGCAGCTGGGCTTCGGCATAAGACAGGTGGTGGGGCTTCCCTGGTGGTGCAGTGGTTGAGAGTCTGCCTGTCGATGCAGGGAACACGGGTTCCTGCCCCGGTCTGGGAGGATCCCACATGCCGCGGAGCGGCTGGGCCCGTGAGCCATGGCCACTGGGCCTGCGCGTCTGGAGCCTGTGCTCCGCAACAGGAGAGGCCACAACAGTGAGAGGCCCGCGTACCGCAAAAAAAAAAAAAAAAAAAAGACAGGTGGTGGTTTAAATTCTGGCTCTGCCATTCCAGCGTGTTGGGGGGTCTTAGGTAGCTTCTGTGCCTTCACTGAGTCTCAGTTTCCTTGTCCGTAAAATGGTGGGAATCTCACTCTTTGCACAGGATCCAGTGTGATCATGGGTTTAAAGTGCCTGGCACATAGCAGAGGTCCCATGCAGTATTTCTTTTTAGGGTTCAACCATGCTGGGTCTAGGACCAGAGATGGGGCTCCACACATGCCTGGGTTGGAAGCAGGAAGGGAGGAAAAAGAAAAAGGGAAAAAGAAAAAAAGCGTTGTGCCCCCTGTGAATACATCATAACACACCGTGAACCCACAGCATCCAGAATCTTCCTTCCCCAAGAAGAGGTGGTATGACCTGCTCTTTTCCTTCCACTCCTCCCCACAGCTCACCCCAATCTCCCAGCTGCCCTCTGTGACATTCTCTTCCATGTGGCCACTTCTTCCTCGCTATATGAGAACCAACTGCCATACCTGATAATTACCCTTCACATGGAAGAAACAGAAACCAGATTGCTCCAAAAATAAATGCGGTAGGCGGCAGGGCCAGGGGCTCTGCCACGTGATTTGATCTGTGCCAGCCCCACCCCCCAAGGATGGGAATAGCCCCTGAAGGGTATATTTCACTTCCCTCAGGCTCATTTCCTGGATTCTTTTAGATATTCCTGAATTATACTAATAGCTAATATTTATCAAGCCCTCACTCCATACAGGCACTGGGCCAAGTATTCTATATAGGTTTTATCACTGACATAGATCTTATCACTGGGTCAGGTGCTGTAATCATCCTTGTTTTACAGATGGGGAAACAGGGGGACAGAGCAGTGAAGCAATTTGCCCAGGATCACACAACTGAATTGCATGCAAGCCCACATCCGGCCATATCAGAGCCCAAGGACTCAACCAGTACCCAATTCTATCCCAGAGCAATCAGCGTAGGAATAGTTGCTGTCAAGTAGTAACATTTTTCTTCAATCAATATAGTGTTCAACCTGAAGTCTGCCATTAAAGAAAGAATTTAGAGTTTAAAATATAAGGAAAACATGTCACAAACAGCCATTGATGAAGCTTAAATAACAATTACAGCTGAATAACACAAAACCCACTGAACTGGTTTCTTTTCCTGGTAGAAAAAAAAAAAAAAAAAGACTCTACTTGGAGGAAGAATGACCAGAATAGTTTTTAGTTTAAGGCAATTTTATTTTTCTGGTCAAATATGAAACACTCCCAAGATGACTAATAAGAGTTGATATCTTTTGTGACATTCTCCAATGCTACCAATTAATGCATCCTTGGCTGGCTTGGCAAATAATTCTGCCCTTCAATCTCTGCTCTGCAAAATGAAAGCAACAGCAGAACTCAGCTAGTTAGTGCCAGAATTTGATACAGTTAACAGTGACGATAATAACATGTCTTGTCTGTATATATATACTGCTTTATATTTTATAAAGCCCTTTCATATCGTTTCTCTTATTTGGTCCTCACAGTAACTCGGGGTGGGGAGGGGGTGAGGGGAAGAGGGGGGCAAGTGCGGCTGTTTTTAATCCCTGTTTGATAGGAGTAGGTAAGTTGCAGGGTTTTGTTTGTTTGTTTGTTTGTTTTTGCGGTACACGGGCCTCTCACTGTTGTGGCCTCTCCCGTGGCGGAGCACAGGCTCCAGACGTACAGGCTCAGCGGCCATGGCTCACGGGCCTAGCCGCTCCGCGGCATGTGGGATCTTCCCAGACCGGGGCACGAACCCGTGTCCCCTGCATCGGCAGGCGGACTCTCAACCACTGCGCCACCAGGGAAGCCCAAGTTGCAGTTTTAATGGAAGAATTATTTTATAACCTCAAGTATAATGATGGCCTTCCTGGGACTTCCCTGGCAGTCCAGTGGTTAAGACTCTGTACTTCCAATGCAGGAGGTATGGCTTTGAACCCTGGTGGGGGAACTAGGATCCTGCATGCTACACAGTGCATGCTTAAAAAAAAAATTAAATTAAATTTAAAAATAATGGCCTTCCTAACTGTGTCACAAAACCCATAAGCCATAAAAGCCTGAAAGATTCAACTACATAACAACTGTTTCAAAATTCTGCCTGGCCAAAATCACAAGCAAAGTCAAAGGCAAACTGCAAACTGAGAAAGCATGTTTGCAACACCTATCACAGGCCAAGGACTAATTTTCCTAATATACAGTTCAAGCAAATACTTGTACATGAATGTTCTAGCAGCACTGTTCACCATAGCCAAAAGGTGGAAATAATCCAAATGTTCATCAACAGACAAATGGATAAGTAAAGCATGTTCTATATGTATAATGGAATATCATTCAGCCATAAAGAGGAATGAAACACTGATGATGCTACAATCTGGATGAATCTTTGACACATTATGCTAAGTGAAAGAAGACAGACACAAAAGGTCTCATATTGTATGAGTCCATTTATATGAAATATCCAGAAAAAATAAACCCATAGAGATAGAAAGTAGGTTAGTGGTTGCCAAGAGCTGAGGGAGGTGGAGAATGGGGAGTAACTGCTTAATGGATACGATTTGGTGATGATGAAAATTCTTTGGTACTAGATAGAAGTGATGGTTGCACAACATTGTGAATGTACTAAATGCCACCAAATTGTACACGTTAAAGTGG